AGATTTTGCACAAATTGAAAAAAAGAGGCGTAAGAAAGAGATTTTGTATGTACCCGAAAAATGGTATTCATTAGTTGAAAACTGTGGTAAAAAGTTCATTGTGGAACGTGTAACAGAGGACATGGTGTTTGATTTCAAAACATATTATTATTTATACACGATTCTGTATCCCCTGAGAATATTTCGGTAACTGAAGCACATAATCCTTTCTTATTAACGTCATATGCTTTAAATAAAAGTTGAGGAACGATTATTGACCTAAACGGAGTTCCTCTGGATTATAAGGAAAGATACCACTGAAATCAGTAAAATACCTTTATAGTAGCATTATACCTTTAGTCAAAAACATGTCTCCCCTTTTTGCCAAACATTTTATGATACAATCAACTGGCAGATGCCGATTGCCATAAAAAATGACGATTCTGATTAGAGTATTTTAGACTGTCCTCTTTTATTTTATTTTTGATTTTCTGCATTCAAACCCTTCTTTCAGTGCGTTATAGTTGATCAAATTCTCTCTAACGCATTAAGCTAGAAGTGACAGAAAAAAACGTGAGTCTGTAATTATTATACATAGAACTTAGAAAATTATGTATCGTTCACATGCACTTGCATATTAAAGCGAATTCTACTTACGGATGTATAATTTGTTGGACTTTAGAATACGCTAAATAGATATCCAATCAATGATGCGCATAAATATAATTGGACGCAGATAGTCTCTATCGTGACAGTACTTTCAACAATGTCAACTGATAAAATGATAATTGTCATTCCAGGTTAGTATTTTCAGACATTTTACACAGAAAATTTTAATTTTGTATTTTTTGTCATAAAAATATTTTAAGTGTGCCGAGATATACCAAGAAAGGACAAAGACGAATATTAAAATTACTAAATTATTTTCAATTAGAAACAGAGGCTGGGACAACTTTACCAGTTTCTGCCGTTCGTGAAGTTTTAAATTATTCTAAAAAATATTAATAGTATTTTAAATACTATACATTTTAGCCTGTTGCCAAGGTGTTAGGAGTTTCGTTACCAACAGTAAGAAGACGATTGGCAAATAAAGGCATTGTAACAGATGCTAGCTATTCTGTGGCAATGAGTACTACAGTATGTGATAATCTAATATCTTCACGAACCAATAAATATGAACATGTTATTAAAACTCGTGTATATTAGAACTATTTCCACTATTTAATGATAAATCTTCACAAAATTAAACTATTTGCTGCCACAGAAACTTATCGCAAAATTACTTGTCCGAATATGACTGATTTCAATCAATGCTATTTTATCACAGGAATGTTTGCCTTGATGCCTTGCAATTGCCAGTAAAATATTTTATCTCGCAGTCAACTCTTAAAAGATTGTAAGAGGAAGCGTTATTTTAAATAAATAAACATTCCAATTCCATAGTGTTTGTAATAAATAATAATAAATCCATAAATAAATCTTAGCTAATTAAGCACTTTCCTTGGAATGTATAGAATAGGATATATATGACAAACTGCCGTTCCAATATAATGCGCAATAAAAATGTATATACAGAACGGGACCTCTATGTAAATAAAAAAAAATGAATTGTTAAAAGTTTTTATTACACGTTTAAAAAAAATAACCTTTTTACATTTAGCCTATTACGACCCTGCAACTGTCAGATTTAACTAAAATGTCATGCAATAATTCTCGACGTTCCTAAAATCCTATATGACGTCAAAATTAGTGCCGCACTGAAAGAAAGGTTTGGGACAGACTATAATTACGACTAATATAATTAACTATGACTAAATGACACGTTTTTCTTTATTTCTCAAAACTATGTAATGTGCACGTGGACGGTTATAGCACCAAGCCCTTCAATTGTAATTATATGGAATTATTTTAAAAGGAGAAATAGTATATAAACTTAAATATATGATTCAATGTTGTTATTAATCGGATGACACCTCTTACTTTTAATAAATTTTGACAATCGTTACGAATCGAATCTTTTATTGTCAGATATTCTTTTAATTTTTTTACTTCTCATTTAATGTCTATGTTTTGTTAGTTATTATTTATACAGTTTTTAATTTAAACCTGCTTAGAGTAAATATATGATGACCAGAAATGAATTGATCGACAGTAGTGAATCGATGTCAAGAACCGCTATTCTATGACACTATCCGTGACGACGACTTCTCGTGGCGCTAGTGACGTTCGCCTCAGCATTTTACTGTAAACAAAAAAAGTAATACAACGCCAGTATAGAAGGCGTATGAATGATTGTATATGATATTCTAAAAATCTTTTTTTTTTTAGAAATACAAGTATTTTTTTGTAAAAGTGTGTAGTTTTTTTTTCGTGAGCGCTTTCGGCTCACAAATCCATCCTCAGAGCTACGGTCAAATATTTAAAAAGCACTACTACTAGGGACCGATCCCATTAGTTTGAAAAATCCGCAATGTTTTCCTTTTTAAAAGTTTAAAAAAACTTAAAATTTTCTTCGAAAAAATATAAAACTCCACAAAAAATACATTAAAAAATTTGTTTATAGTACGGGTGTAAGAATCCGAACATTTGGTTGGAGTTAAAGGGGCAGATAGCTGTCTTTTTTTGTCTATGATCTTTCTATATATATATATATATATATATTTATATATATATATATTATATATATATATATATATATATATATATATATATATATATATATATATATGCCGGTTTAGAACGTCCTTCTCCGTTGTCCGACACCTAACTTCTATCCTCTTCTATCTTGACAATCTTCCGTTGATAGATTCCGTTCGCTCATTGACTTTTTTATGTTTTGCTGCCACTCTAGTTTGGGTCTTCCTCGCTTTCTACTACCTATTGGGGTCCAGTTCAGTATTTTTTTGGGCCATCTAGTATTTTGCATTCGCTCTACGTGTCCGTACCAGGTAAGTTGTTTCTTTTCGATATCCTGAATTATCGTACCTTCTATTCCCATTCGTTGTTTTATATGGTCATTCCTCATTCCTTCTCTTCGTGAGACTCGCATAGATCTTCTTATCGCGTCCACTTCGACTGCCTCTACCTTCTTTTTTTGTCTGTCTGGATTTCTCCATGTTTCTGCTCCATACAATAGGCTGCTCTTAACCATTGTCTCGTATATATTAAATTTTCTCCTTTTTGTTATCTCCTTGCTCCACATGATGCCATTCAGACATCCTATTATTTTTTAGCTGTAACTATTTGTTTTTCTATCTCTTTCACATCTGTTCCGGTATTGTCGAATGTGATACCTAAATATTCATATTCTTGACATTGCAGAATATCTTGACCGTTGTCCAACTCCAAATTTTTGCTCTAAGAGCCTACACATAGATATTTCGTTTTATTTACGTTAACTGTCAAGCCCCATTCCTCATACTCTTCTATCAGCTTTCTAATCATATATTGCATGTCGTCTTTGTCATTGGCCACTATGACCTGATCATCTGCAAACTGAAGAGTAAACAGGTATCTATCATCTATCTCTATGCCCATTCCGTGTATTTTCCTTTTCCAGTTCTTAAGTGCCGCTGCTACATATATTTTGAATAGTGTAGGAGAGATAGGACATCCCTGACGTAGTCCCTTATTCACTATGAAGGCATCTGTGAGTTTTTTACCTATCTTAATTCTTGATTGTCAATTTTGTGTTCTTACAGTTGTGATTGATGTTCGTTTGTTCTAATACCTTTCACAGTCTCGATACTGGGACTGTATCATATGCTTTTTGTAGATCCACAAATGTAAGATGGGTTTCCAGATGTCTAGCAGATCTCTTCTCTATGACTTGTTTTAGACAAAATACGTTGTCGGTACACGATCTACCTGCTCTAAAGCCGCTTTGATCTTCTTCTTCTTTCTCTTTATAGTCTTCTTCAATTAGATCTCGCAGTATTCTACTGTATAGTCTGCTCAGTGTACTCGTGATTGATATACCTCGATAGTTGTTACAGTCCAGTTTATTTCCTTTTTTATGGATGGATGATATATAAGCTGTTTTCCAGTCTTCTGGAACAGGATATCCATTTAGGCATTTATTGATAATTATTAAAGAGTTTTTCCGTTCCCCATATTAACATTTCGGAGAAAATCCCTTCTGGTCCGCTAGCTTTCCCTAACTTAACAAAACTGTCTTTTTTACTGTTTCTTCGGATACCTCTACTTCTTCTCCATTTACTACAAAATGTTTTGGAGATTCTATCACGTATTTCTGTCTAGTTTCTTGTAGTAGACCTTTGTAGTGTTGTATCCACTGCTCCGGTTTGATTATCTGGATATTTGCTCTGTCCTTTGCTGGGTTTTTGACATTTGATAGAAATTTCCATACCTCCGAGCATTTCCTTTCTACGATATAATTGTTAACTTCTTCACATTTCTTATCCCACGTCTCGTTCTTAGCTAAATTAATGCCCGCTCTTAATTGTCTTTTTGTTTGTTTATAATCTTCCAGATCTTGTTCATTTTTTGTTGCCAACCATTTTAAATATTTTTGTTTCTTTTCCTGAACTAGTAACTCTATCTCCTCGTTCCACCAGTATTTTTTGTTGATCTCCTTTGCCTTTATTCCTACTGCTTCTCTGGTGGCATTTCTTAGACTTTCGATAACGTTCTCATAGATTTCATAAAAGGTGCATTCTTCCGCATTTGATAGTTTGCTGTCAAGGCGCCTCTGATAAAGAAATACCGTGCTTTCATCGTTAAAACTTTGAAAATTATACTTTGTTGTACACATTTCGTCGGTGAGTACGGAATTGTTGTTATGCTCATCTATGATCTTTCTTTGTGTTCCAATTACTTTTGTTTTTATTTCTTCCCAATTTTCTTCGGTGAATATACTCCCGGTACTTGTCAGTGTTTGTGTTATTTCTGTCTCATTTCCATATCATATATTTACATATATTTTAACACAACACTAGTATTTGTTTCTTTTATTATTTTTTATTATACCATTTTAATGATTAATTACATTTCATTTTCAGATGAAATTAGACAAGACATTGAAGATGCTGTCAGTAGATTATGTCCCTGGTAAGCTTATTATAATTCATATTAAGTTTTTAAAATACAATATCTATCGCACTCTGTTTAAATATAGAAAAAAGAACAAGTTTAGCTTTTTTAAGTTGATACGTTTATATAAGCAAACAATTTTAGACAACTGTTCAGAAATCAAAATTATGATGCTTAATTTTAATGTTTTATTTAAATAGTTATAAATCGGATTATTTCATGGACGTATAAACCGTCCATGGATTATTTATTAAGCAAAGTATTTTGTTCGAAATAGTTACAATTGTATATTTTCATATTGCTGGCAATATTATATATTTATAGTCTATCAAAAGGTAGAGAGATTTCAGTCATCAAATATCTAATACGCAGCAAGCTATTTGAATTCATTATTACATCTTTAAAATCTCATATGAATTTAAAACTTATGAATAGAATATATTATTTTATAATTTACTGATTCGTCAGCAATGCATTTATCTTAATTTCAGTGTAATATTTTCTTTTTTTTTTTTATTTCGCTTGCCAAGTTTTTCGTGTTTCGTGATTCCGTAACAGAATTTTTTTCTACGGGAGGGGGGTGTTAACCCACTGCCCAACCCCCAACTTGGAGGACAAAAAAACGACGTTCTCTAACATAAATTTAAACTTTAAACATTTTAAAATATCCAAAGCTAATCCGAGTATATTAGAAATTTTTTAAATGTTTTTATTTGATATATTAGAAATACAATTATTTCTAAATGTATAAATATTTTTAGGAAAGCTGAAGATGGAAATATATACTGGGGTGGTTGGGCTCGAATGGCACAGCCTATCATCAATTTTGCTGTCGTCGAAGTTGCCAAACCTAACATTGGGGAAAAACGACCTAGTAGAGTTAGAGCAGATGTTACTGTTAATTTGGCAGTAAGACCAGAAATAAAAGGGGAATGGGAGAATCTACGTAAACATGACGTATGCTTTTTGGTAACAGTTAAACCAACAAATCCAATAGGTAAGTTCAATTTTGTGTCAATAATTTATTACAAGTCATTTTTAATAATAACGGAAGAAAAGCAGTTAAAGAACCAACTAGAAGAGATCAGCAGATTAGCTATTGGCATACTAATAAAGTCGACTCTGTCGTCCAGTAATCGAAACCCAGTATATACTTAAATAAATCAGATTGTGTTACAAAGAGTTTGTCTTAACACATACCAAAGCTAATATCATGGCATTTGGCCATCTTGCAGCAGTGCCCGTTACGTTTAGTCAACTCCTTCCCATTGTTTTATAAAGGTCTCTTCTTCTTCTTAGTTCAGGCGAGACACGTTAATCTCTGTTTTTCTTTAAACTAAAATAAGTCCTGTGGTTTTAACGAAGGCCAACAGTTTCCTTATGTACAAATTTTTAATGACACGTATATCCTTGTCATCTATTTCGATATTTTTCAGTATTTGCATTAATTTTACATGCTGTACTTTATCGAATGCCTTTTCGAAATCCACGAAACATGCAAATACATCTTTTCTTTGGTCACGGCATTTTTGTAATGGGACGTTAAGCGCAAAAAGTGCCTCCCTGGTTCCCATAGCATTTCTAAAACAAATTGGGTCTCTTCAAGATCTTCGCATTTGCGTCTAATTCTGTTGTGAAGTATTCTGAGGAAAATTTTAAGAGTGTGGCTCATAAGGCTAATTAATCGATATTCTGAGCATTTTCCCGCATTGTGTTTTTTAGGTATTGCGATAAAGATGCATTTGCGCCAATCTGCGGGAATCACTCCGGTGTTATATATTGAATTAAAAAGTCTTACTACTACTTTTATGTTATCATTCTCTATTAGTTTCAGCAACTCAGTTGGTGTATCATCTGGATCACAAGCTTTTGTAATTTTAGCATTATTTATAGCATGTTCTATTTCGCATTTCATAATTTCTGGGCCGTCTGTACAGTTTTGGTAGAATTCGGCAATATTATTCCTGTCATCTTCAAACAACTCTCGATATATACAGCTGCCATTCTTTTCTTATTTCTTGCTCATTTACAATAATTTTGTTATTAGTGTCAACAAGTACAGAGGGAACTCGTTTTTTAAATATATTACTCATTTCTTTCAGGTTTTTGTGTACACTAAATAAGTCGTGTTTAATTCTGCCATTTTCCATTTTCCATTTTTCTTCTGCTAATTTGATCTCCTTTTTTATTCTTCTCTGCAGGTGTCTATATTCTGTTACATTAGATTTTTTCAGTCGACGTTGTTCCATTAATTTCAAGATGTCGTCTGTCATCCAATTTTTTTTCTTGATTAAGTTTTTTCTATAATCATTGTTTGTGGAGATTTCGTTAACTTGGTTTTTGAATTCACTCCATAGTTCTTCTGGATCCTCTAGTTATTCTCCGATGTTTTTTATTCTATTGTTAAATTCTTTTTTAATGTTATGTTTTATGTTTATATCGTCAAAGTTAACATTGGTTTTTGGTTTTTGTCGCTGAATTCGTTTTAACCTTAGTTTTATATCTGCTACGAGTGGTTGATGATCAGATCCAATATCTGCCCCTGGATATGTAGTGACTTTTTTGGCGGCATTTCGGAAACGCTCATTTACAAGTATATAGTCTATTTGATTTCTTGAAGACTCAGGGTTATTGCCATCATCAAATAGGGCTTTCCAAGTGTATAGTCGTCGCTTGGGTAGTTTATACCAGGTGTTTGCATGATCATATCGTTTTCTTTACAGAATTCATACAATCTCTGTCCTCGATCGTTAGGTTGTCCTAAAGCATAAGGACCTACAGTCGTGACCTCGTCGACCTTCCCCAATTTTTGCATTCAAGTCGCCTATAATATATAAAATTTCGTATTTATTAAGTTTCTGTAAGATGTCTTGGATCTGATCATACAACTTCTCGACTTCATCGTCATATTTTCTCTCTGCAGTCGGGGCATAGATTTGAAGTATGTTAGTTTTAAATGGTTGAGTATTTATTTGGAGTAATATTATTCTATCCAAGACTGGTACGAAATTAGTATCATATTTACTCAGTTCTGATGTTACTAATATAACTACACCATTTTTGTGATGCTGGTCTTCTGTGCTGTTACCGGAATAATATAATACAGTTCCGTCCTTTTTACATAATCCTGACTCTGGCCATCTCATTTCGCTGATTCCCAGTAGGTGTATTTTCATTCTTTTCATTTCTTGAATTGCGTTGTCAAGTTTCCCAGTCGCAAATAGACTTCTAACATTCCATGTGCACATTATAAAATTAGATTTCTTTATTTTTACGATTACTTCACGAGGTTTTCGCATGTTTACGACCTGAGAGGCCTCGTGGTTAAATATGTTTCTTCTCTCCTGCCGAATTTTGGCCTCCGCTTTCCAGGATTAATAACGGTTTGAAATTGCAGTGTCAATTCTATGGTAATTTTCCTGGGGGTGCTCTATGAGCCGTTAATGCAGTGATTTCCCTTTTCCTTCTGCAACCTTATGCCGTTGACCATTATTTGTTGATTCATCCGCCTTCAGGGCCGTTTTCTCAAACCCAGGACAAAAGAATGCCCTACCACTCACCAACTCATCCGCCCTAAGCCGTTGGTCAGTAAGTGGGGGATTACTTATACTGGCAATCACTCGGATGTCAGAGCCTCATTTATTATCTAGCAGGATGCACCGGATGACCATAATCAAGATCATCACGCGGGCAGGCGAGGTTGACATTGGACAACTATATAACTTAATAATCGTTTAAAAATGATTTTCATCATTTTCAGTATTACTAGCTTTATCGATAGCTACGGCAATCTTCAGTCTGAAATCTTTTAAATTTTGAGCTCTTGTATGAAAATGATCTTACATTTTGTTATCGATAAATAAATAAAAATAATATTTTGGAGTTAAGTTGTCAGGCGACCCTGCCCACGCGAGCCATGCTTTACTCTCAATTCCTTACTGAGATAAATCATGTCCCATTCCTTTATCCTTCCAAAATCTAATTTCCTACTTCCTATCCCTCCCTGGTGAAGGGCAGCAGCGATTATCAGTACCAGTTTAAGGCGTAGAGGAAATGATCCTGGACCGGCTTGAAACTGGATTACCACAAGCATGACTGGAACAGTTTAAATGGTTGTGGTACTGCGATGGGGAAGGCAACTGGAAAACCACCCCATTATATTATCCACAAATCTAAATGGCAGACAAGAAAAAGAAAATGGCCCTCGGTCCGGGGCACCTTAAATGGGGAGAGGGTGCGAAGAATCCCCCCGTCAACTACCCAAGAAAGTGGACAGAAAATAGAAATATACGACCGAATAGTACGCATTACCACCTGGAACGTACGCAGCTTATTTATGTCCGGGAAACTGGCAAACACTGAAGCCGACATAATAAGACTGAAAATAGACATCTTGGGGATGAGTGAAGTAAGATGGCCTGGTTCAGGAGTACAAAAAACAAAACATGGATACATATATTATTCAGGTGGAACTGACCCAGAACATCGACATGGAATTGCTATATTAGTGTCGAACAAAATTGCTGAATCAGTCACAGACTTCATCAATCTAAATGATAGAGTAGCAATGTTAAAATTACAAACAACTCACAGAAAACTAAATATTATTCAGGTCTATGCTCCAACAAGTGACAAGTCAGACGAAGAAATCGAAAAATTTTATAACAACATAGATGAAATAATGCGACTGACAAAAGAGGTGAGATAACGATGAGCATGGGTGACTTTAACGCTAAAGTTGGACGTGGTGATGAAGGAGATCACATAGGAGCATACGGTCTAGGTGTCAGAAATAATAGAGGCGATAGACTTGTACAATTCTGCATAGAAAACAATCTATTAATAGCCAATACTTTCTTCAAACAACATCCTAGAAGGCTATACACATGGAAATCACCTGCAGACAGAAAAGACAAAATTGTTAGAAATCAAATTGACTTCATTTTGCTCAATAACACATTTAAGAAGTACATACAATCTACGAAAACATCCCTGGAGCTGATATACATAGCGATCACAATACAGTTATAATGGATTTTAGATTAAAACGATTTCTCAAAGTCAAAAAGAAAACAGTGACAAGAAATATAGACATCTCGCAACTGAAAAACCCTGAACAGAAAAAAGAAATAAGTATCAAGCTTGAGGAAGAAATAAAAACGATCGAAAACTTGGTACAGACAGACATTGAAGTGACATGGACTGCTCTAAAAACAAAAATAACAAAAATACAAGAAGAAGACATCGGGTACATAAAACACAACAAAAAACAAGAATTGATAACGCAAGAGATCATGGACGTAAGACGAAAACATAAAACAAACCCAATAGAATACAAGCGAATCAATAAAATCATTAGAAAAAAGTACAGGGAGGCGAAAGAAAACTGGATGTCAACAAAATGCCTAGAAATCGAACAACTTCAAAAAAAATACGACACCTTTAATATTCACAAAAAAGTAAAAGAAATGACAAAAAGATACAAGCAACAATATTAAAAAATGAAAATAACGAAATAATTATGGGTACAGAAGACAAACTAAAGAGATGGAAAGTATACATACAAACTCTTTTTGATGACGATAGACCTTGTTCTCCACCATCCACAGATAATCGAATAAATGAAAAAGGCCCAGAAATAACCAAAGAAGAAGTGATTCACGCAGTAAAATCTCAGAAAGATGGAAAAGCCACCGGCTTTATGACAATATCAATTTCGAAATACTAAAACTAATTGCAGATAACGAAAGTAAAAGCCTAGACTTAATAACAGCACTATTCAATAAGATATATGACACAGGTAAAATACCAACAGACTGGCTAAAATCATCATTCGTAGCATTACCAAAAAGATCGAATTCCTCACAATGCGATGATTATCGAATATTAAGCTTGATGTCTCATGTCCTTAAAACTTCTCAGAATTATACATACACGAATTTACAAGAAGTGCGAGTTTCAGATGAGTGACACTCAATTCGGATTTCGAAACGGATTGGGAACACGAGAGGCTCTGTTTGCTTTAAATGTGTTAACGCAACGATGCAGAGACATGAATGTAGATGTATATGCATGTTTTATTGACTATCGAAAAGCATTTGACTGTGTTAACCATCAAAAGATGATCGAAATTCTGAGAACAACTGGAGTTGACGAACAAGACTTGCGAATTATCTCAGAACTATACTGGCACCAAACGGCAACAATTGAAATAGAACACACAACATCCGAAGATATACAAATCCGACGAGGAGTGAGACAGGGTTGCGTCTTATCACCCCTTCTGTTTAATTTATATTCGGAGTCTATATTCAGAGAAGCATTAGATCAGGTCCAAGGCGGAGTTAAGATTAACGGAATCAGCATAAACAACATCAGATATGCTGATGATACTGTCTTAATAGCAAGCAACGCACAAGAACTACAAAATGTAATAAATGCGGTAGTTTCACCACAGCGAAATGTTCGGCTTACATCTAAACGTTTCCAAAACGAAAACTTTAGTATTTTCAAAGACACCAATAAACGTACATGTGTATGCCAAGGGTCAAATGATAGAACAGGTAAATTCCATAAAATATTTGGGAGCAAATATCAATAGTCAGTGTAATCCAAAAAAAGAAATACTATCAAGAATCGAACAAGCAAGGAAAACATTCATGAGCATGAAAACATTTTTTACAAGATCAGACCTTAGTCTGCAGCTTAGAATCCGAATGATTAGATGTTACGTTTTTTCTGTCTTACTGTATGGCTGTGAAAGTTGGACAATGGACTCTGAAATAGAAAAAAGAATAGATGCCTTTGAGATGTATATATACAGACGAATATTGAGAATTCCATGTGTACAAAGAGTTACTAATGTTGAGGTACTTCGTCGAATGTGTAAACAAAAAGAATTACTAAGAATAATCAAAGAGAGGAAAATGCAATACTTGGGTCATGTGTTGAGAGGCGAAAAATATGAATTACTTCAAGTTATACTGGAAGGAAAAGTACAGGGCAAAAGATCAGTAGGAAGACGCCAGAACTCATGGCTGAAAGACCTAAGGAGATGGTTCGACCGCTCATCCGCAGAAATCTTTCGCGCAGCAGTTTCCAAAACCACAATTGCCATTTGGATCGCCAACCTTCGAAAGGAGACGGCGCCATAAGAGAAGAAGAAGTTGTCAGGACCCCATCACACATTTAATTTCTGGAGAAATTTTGTCCCTACAGGCATAGTTAAATACTTATTTTACATATTAATTAGTCTGCGTACTTTGTATTCACATTTTTTGCATACAGACAAATCTTTTTTCTGAAAAAAAATTTGTTTTTCATAATACTATTCATTCTTCGCCTCTTTATACATTAATCTGGATAGGATGAACATGATCAGATTAATATCCTCGTTTTTTAACATGGTTAGGTATTGGTAGGTTCTTGTTCCGTTTGAAAGCGTACCATTCACTAAAATGTTAAAGATTTGTTTTAAATGTTAGCGACAAGCTAGCAATTCGCACTTTATTGACTAATTTACGGAATAACTCCATGGAGATCATATGAAGTCAAGTTATTATTTTTTGAAGCCAGAAGATTAGTTTTCTTTTTAGTCCCCCTTTGCAATAAACTTTTCCTTCTAAAAGTACTCCTTATTGCAGTTCGTTTCACATAACATGACCCAAAAATGCCAGCTTACGTGTTTTAATTTTCCTATTCTTCAAAGGTTATCCACGTTAGTAATATAATCAAAGAAATTCTTATGTTGCGCATGTAACACTACATTTAAAATGCCTCTATTTTCTTTATACAGTGTGGAAACCACTTATGGAATACAATTGTTTGTGTCCTTATTATAGAAAATAATCAAAAACTCTTCTTCTTCTTCTTAAGGTTCCATCTTCTAACGAAGGTTGGATATCAACATGGCAATTCTTACTTTACTTACAGCAGCTCTAAATAGTTGGCTAGAGCTCAGACTAAACCATTCCCTTAGATTTCGTAGCCAGGAGGTTCGTCTTCTTCCTACATCTCTTTTACCTTTTATTTTGCCCTCTATAATCAAACGTAGTAGCCCATAACGAGGACCTCTTAATATATGACCGAAATATTCAAGTTTCCGCCTCTTAATTGTCTGTACAATTTCTTCCCTCTTATTAACCCTATCAAGGACTTCAATATTGGTAATTTTGTCTACCCATGCTATTCGTAGCATCCTTCGATAACACCAACGCTCAAAAGCTTCCAATTTCTTAATCTCCAGTTGTTTCAATGTCCATGCCTCAGATCCGTAGAGCAAGGTTGTAAAAATGTAGCAGCGCAATAACCTTATCCTTAGATCCATTCTTAGGTCTCTACTACACAATAGATGTTTCATTTTTACAAATTTTGCCCTTGCTATTTCTATACGGCTTTTAATCTCTTGCGTTTGTTCTGCGTTTTGACTAACCAATGTTCCTAGATATTTGTATTTATCTACCCTTTCTATCTGGATATTATTAATATGGAGTGTCTCAAAAACTCTGGAACACGTTAACTTTTAAATTTAAATGTGCGCTTTTTAAACATTTAAATGTACAGGATGATCCACGCAAGTCTGGCATAGTCCATAATCCTTATTTTTAATGAAACACCCTGTATATTTTTATGTTTTTAAAATAATTTTAACAACCTAATTTCAATGAACTATATCATGTAGCGTCTATAATGAATAATACAAGGTGAAATTTTGAAATTAATAATTTTTTATCACGTGTTATGGTATTATTTTAAATTAGCTAAATACAGACAATAGACTTCTACTCGTAAGTGTCAGTACACTGTATATTGGGGAAAATTTCTGTTTAGTAACCGTGTTAACATTACCGAATTGAGATTTTAATGATGATCTGTTACGGGGAGAATTGTAGAAGTCAAGTTGAAGTAGCAAACTTATTTAATCAGAGGTATACTCAGTTACCTAATATTTCACAAGGTACTGTGTCTAAAATTTACGCACAATTCAGAGAACTTGGACATATCAAACCTTTAAAAAAAAATCGAACTTCATTGAAGATGAAGTGAAAGTGGATATTTTGTTAAGTGTCGCAGAGAATCCAACGTCAAGTTCACGTCAAATTACACGTCAAAATAATGTGAGTCACATAACTGTCCTAAGGTATCTCCATGAAGAAAACTTCATCCATATAAATTGACATTTGTGCAGGAGCTAACAGAAGACGATCCGGATCGTAGAATGGATTTCTGCAAAAGAATGATGGATAAAATTAACAAATGAAATAGCTCTTGGCACAATTATTTTTTCTGATGAATCAACATTTGCATTGAACGAGAGGTAAACTGACAAAACTGTAGATATTGGTCAGCGGAGAATCCTCATTAGTTGCGTGAGACACACACTCAGTATCCTCAAAAGTTGAATGTTTGGGCAGGTATTATAGGAGATCATATTATTGGTCGTATATTTATAGATGATAATTTGACAGCGGAAAAATATTTAAGCATGCTAAGAGACGATGTTTTCCTTAGTTGCTAACTTATATCCCAATCCAATAGATCCGACCCTACCGCATGAAACTGTCTGGTTCCAGCAGGACGGTGCAACACCCCATTATGCTTTAATGGTGAGAAATTACTTGAATGAAATCTTCTTCAATAAGTGGATTTGATGAAGGGGACTATTGAGTGGCCAGGTAGGTCGCCAGATCTTACGCCTTTGTATTTTTTGTGGGGTTATCTCAAGAATAAAGTATATGCAACACAATCAACTATCATTGAAGACCTCAAAAAGTAAGGATAACTACAGAAATACGGAATATTTCACCTCAAACTTTAAACAAAGTTCGGAACGAGTTTTATATTAGACTGTGTTATTGCCAACAACAAGGTGGAGAACATGTTGAGCATTTATTTTAATGTAATCTAATCAATTACCTCGGGTATTCTATGAATTCATTGTCTTTGAATTTGAATTCATTGAATTGAAGAAATAACCTAATTTCAAAATTTCACCTTATATTATTCATAATAAACCCTACATGATATAGTTCGTTGAAATCAGGTTGTTAAGGAGCTTTTAAAAACATGAAAATATACAGGGTGCTTCATTTAAAATATAGATTATGCACTATGCCAGACTTGCATTGATCACCCTGTACATTCAAATTTATGTCTAAAAAGCGTACATTTAAATTTAAAAGTTAAGGTATCTCAACGTTTTTTATTATTTTCTAAAATAAGGACACAAACAATTTTATTCCATAAGTGGTTTTCACACTGTATATATGATTAAGAAACTGTCCAAGTGTATAATTATGTAAAACATGAAAAAAAACATTCGGTAAAACAAGACCATTTTGTATTTAGTTTTCAAGAACATATCTCGCTTTCTGAACTTGGTACCCATCCTAATAAAAGCCCTTTTAGCTTCTGCTATAGACTAGTTTATTTCTATCGAATAATCCTACTGGTACGATCAATTGCCTAGATATTTAAGATGTGGTTACATGGAAGAATGCTTCGAATACCCTGGACCAACAAAGCTGTGTCAAATAGAGCAAATGCCGTTCGTGAGTTATTAAAAACTATTAAAAAAAATTTCATACCTAGGGCATCCTATATCAACTTCCAACATAGTTTATACTTTCTGCTATAATAATATAGTCCGTCTTATTTATTTTAAACAATTTGTCGTTCTAAATATAAATAATTTAATTTAAAAAATTATTTATAAAACGTATATATATATATATATATATATATATATATATATATATATATATATATATATATATATATATTCTAAAATTGCCCTTTCATATTACATTACAGAACGTTTTCGGAATAATAAACTAACTTAAATAATTAATGTAACCCAAAAGGGCAATTTTAGAATATATACCTTTTATTAAGGAGTTTTGAAATAAAAGATTTTATGATTTATGGTATACGGCCAATTACAGGAATTTCATTTTCCTTGTGGGTTCTACATATATTTTTCCATTATTTTTAGGCACAAAATATGACTACAAAGAACCATTTTTATCTCAAGTTGGCTTACATTGTATAAGAGGTTGTGAGGTAGAAGGAATGTTGGACTCAAATGGGAGAGTTATAGAAGACGGTCCTGAACCAAGACCAGTTTTACCTGGAGATCAGAGAACTTACAGGGTATGGTTAGATTGCAATCAGTATCGTGACGATATGAACAATACGAATCAAGGCAAGGAGGATGTATATGAAGGTATGTATCAATTGTATTACATACTTATTTTTTCCCATATTATTGATAAACAATAAAGCCATTACTTTATACACGATCAACCCAATAGTTATCCCAGGCAGATAAACACTGCCTGGGATGACGATCTAGTGGATCAAGTAGGTTGGTAGTTATCACAGTCGGTCTCAAGCCTGGATAAAAGTGTAGGGTTGATAGGCAAGCTTAGCAACCTACCTATCTTAAAAAAGAATCAGTGCTCAAAGAACCGGTTAACAAGCCTCTAAAACAAGATAGAACCACATGACCGCCAAAACTGCGAGAAAAAGGACAACGAGAAAGGATATGTTAAGGTCTTAAGGATAACATGAACAGGGAATAAGAAATAATTATGAACTGAATGTATACAACATTGATTATCCAGAATTTAATAGACAAGAAAAGAAGGTAAGAGAACTGTAAAATATCCAAATTTCATATTGGTATACAGCAAAAAAGGAGAATATGCAAGTTTACCAGTTGGTATACTCACCCACGAGAAATTTGAAAAATGTATAGATACAGAATACTCAAAATGACACATGACGAAGTAGAAACTGAAGCCTTCTACAATACATTACAAAATCATATGAATACAATTAATATACATGAAAAAGTCATAATATTTGGTAACTTAAACGCACAAATGGGGAACGAATATTAGAAGGAATAAAATAACGTTTGGAGAAAGTAAACGTAAATGGAGAAGTACTAAATTTTTGCACCCAGAACACCTTGAGAATAAATACATTCTTTCGTTTACAAACACCCCAGGACATAAATCAATTATATATTATATAATATCGAGCAAAAAAATACAATCTAAACAGGTATTAGATATCTGTTTTAGGGAAAATCTTAATAAAAATACAACTAAAGAAAGAATTAATCCCAAAATATTTAGAAAAAATAAACATGAATACCTTAGACGAAACAACTCGATGGCTTTATCAAAGACGATGGACAACGATGGAAAAAGTATATAGAACAGCTTTACAACGACGAAGATAGAGAGATCGATGAAGAGAGACAGAAGACGAGCTGGTAACAATAACGGAAGAAGAGATGATATACCACTTAAATGGAAATCAAGTATAACGATCCCTGTACACAAAAAAGGGACAAAAATGGCCCATCTAACTATCGAACTATTACGCTGCTTGACACAAGTTTGAAATTATTGACCAAGATACTTGCTGAGAAAATAATTGAAAAGCATCAAGTAGGTGAAGAGTAACAAGAGTTTGGGTGTTACAGATCAACTGTCAATGTCCTATTTATAATAAGAGAGAAAGCAGTAGAATTTAATACCTGCATTTATGTGTTTTATCAACCTCACTAAAGCCTTCGATTGTGATTTAACTTTCACACAGAGGTACTATAACAAATATAATAAATTTAACTTTATAATAGATTTAATAAATTTGATATTAACTCTAATCACAAAACAAGAATAAAAATAGGAACCGAACTAACGGAGGAAGTCAACATTCAATCAGGAATAAGACAGGGTGATAGCTTCAGCCCGTTATTGTTTAACTTGATAGTGGAAAACTAATAGAAGAAGTAAAAAGTCATGAAGTGTGTACAAAATGGGCAACAGAGCAATAAAGATTTTATGCTACGCAGATGACGCAGTAATAATATCAAATAATAAAGATGACCTACAACGAATGGCCCATGCTTTGAAAGCTAACGCAGAAAAGTTTAACCTGAAAATATCAGTACTAAAAACAAGGTTCCACGTTAGTGTTAGGGAAACCAAGAAATAATAGGAATATGGAACATTGATTCTGAAATATTGTTCTTAATTTTTGTTTTTTGCTCTATTAGTTAATCAATTTTCGTGCTTAATGGGATTTACTTGTAGCTAGGGTTGATAGATTTAGAATTCGAATTTCCAGTTATCTTGATCAATTGGTTATCCTTCCATTCTGATTTTGTTAAATTATACAAATCGCTATCATGTTTTAAATGATTTGTAGTTTTAGTACAGTTTAGTACAGTATAGGACAATTTGATGCTGAATCTTTATATCATTCGGATATTTATAGTGTCCTATGAAAAAGTTCCAAAACAATCAATCTAGTTGAAAATTAGTTTTTAAGTGATGATATGCACTTTACTTTAATAAAAATAATACGAATTTTTGTTGTTGCTGCTGTGAACATAAAAAGAAATAAAAGTTTAGCAAGATGCAACAATATTTCGCCTTGTATGCGCCGGGCTCTTTGAGATATAGTTTATACTTAAGATTAACCGCAAAAATCCAATGTGGTATAGTCAGGTGTTTCCTACACAAAAAAGAATAAATCACATTATGATTCGTGAACCTTGTTTTTGATCATATTTGTTGAAGTTCCTATATATATTAGACCGATTTGACATAAATCATGTTTGAAAATTATTTTCAAGGAGCTACGGGGAGCTCTTTAAATATCCCTTCAAGATCGGTTGATTTCAAATATATTCAGAATGCTTGTCTCCTAGTTGATAATAGTTTTTACATATATTTAGTAAGCGTACATGTCATATAGCGTGAATACATTTTTAATTGTCATCATAGATAATAAGTAAGCCGTTGGTAGGGTATCAGATATTTTTCATTTTTTTAAGTTATAATTTCTCCTGAACTACTTTTTTGTAGTATCATCATAATCAATGGTGCTACAGCCCTATGAAAGAGATTCGACCTTCCCAAGTCTATTACGCCAGGCAGTCCTATCCATTGCCAACCGTTGCCAGTTTGCTGCGCCTATCTTTCTACCATCCTCATCTACACCATCCTTCCATCTGAGTTTTGGCCTACCCCTTTTTCTACTTCCCACGGGTTGTGACATAAGGATTTTTCTAATAGGGTTGTTCTGCTGTGATCTTGCTAGATGTCCTTTTTTGTAGTATATTATTTCTTATATTTAATGTGAATTATACACAATTGCAGTTGAAAATACTTCTAAAATCGTTCTCATAGTATAAATTTTTGAAACAAATTACAGTAGATCCTCTATAAGTCGAATATCAAGGGAGACACCGAAAATTTCAAGTTTTAAACAGTTTTCGACTTATGGGGGATTTTGATTCGACATAAAGATGTTGAGATTCGTTCTGACTAATTTTGAGTTAAAGGTAAAATAAATAAAAGTTCCGGAGTTAACAAACATACTTTTATTTATTATAATTATTTCAAAACATCCTTATGTGTGTATGTAGTATGTAGGGTATCATGGCATCAGACAAAATGTATTTGCCATAAAACATGAAAATTATTAAAAATGTTTCATGTTGTCTATTTCTTTAAACTATAACACAATTTTTGCATTTCTGATAAAATTGATGATGGAATCAAGTACCGATTCATCTGAGAAAGACAGGAGAGATGTAATATTTAGCTACAATGGAAACTCATTGAGAATTTGTTGGTGATACAGAATTGATGAGAACCGAGAGTTCAGAGGACATTCGAGAAATATGTGATTTAGATCACCAATAGATACGTTGTCACAAATACAGACAGGAGAGTTAAGTATTCCAATTTTATATAAGTGGGATGAAAAGCGACAATGGTTTAATTTTGAACGAGTCAGTACTGACATTTGTGCTCTCGATAATTTTAGAGATTAAAAGAGGAATGTTTTTTGGAAGTGTAGGGTGAACGTTAAAATAATGATTTGTAAATTTATTTGCAATTCTTTTGTAATTATTAGCTTCTCATTTACAACTGATATTAGGTTTGAAAGCATTATTCAATTCTTTTGAATTAGATACTTTGTCAATATGGTGGCAATTGTGGGTACTTTTTACGGCCATATCCGAAATTTCATTATGTTCGACTCCGCAATGTCCTTTCGTCCAAATAAACGAAACAACTACATTATTCTGCTTAAGATCCATAATTAATTTTTGTCTATTCAAAATTAAAGCATTTTGGAATTGATTTAGTGGGTGACCGCTAATAGCTTTTGATGTTGACTTCTAAGTCTGAAATTATTTCAATATTCGTGCATGTTTGAGTTGCACACCATTTTAATGTCTTTTCAATGCCAAAGGCCTTAGCGGTACTTTTATTGATACCAAAAGCCACCACATCATAAGCCCCTTTAAGGTCCACAAAAGGACATAACATGTAATTATTTTTTTATAGACAGAATTGTACGTCTGTAATTAAATGGGAGATTGCATTAATTATACCTATGCCCCTACCAAATCCATACTGATTTTTTGGTAAAAGTGATCTGCTTTCAACAAAATATTCGAGCCTTAATTATATAAGACTTTCAAAAGTTTTTGTAATACATGATAATAATGAAATAGGTCGGTAGGACGAAGTTGTCAGGTTGTTTCTTAGGTTTTACTAGAAGACACACTACTATATTTTTAATACTATCTGAATACGTTTATTTTAACCACCAATCATTGTTTATCATTTTCAGGTAATTTATTTATTATCGCATAAGTGAACCCGCCAAGTCCAGGTGCATTATTTTTGTGTTTATGTTCTTGCCTTATTCGTGGGAACTTGGAACATGGGAACAAGTCTTATACCTAATGGTGAGAGTTTTTCTATGGATGGCATGTATGCTGCTAGCAGAATAGTTTGACGTTATTTGCTATGTTTTCTTTTTTTAAATGTGCCTACCTTCTAGAGATGTTGGCGACCACATTGGCCCATCTTATTCTATTCACAGCAGCTCGAAATAGATCAGTTCTCAATCTTGTCCTGTAGAATCAACTATAGAAGTCGGTATATTTCCTACCATTTTTAAAAGTTAGATTCTTATCAGGAAGACATTTAAAAAACAGTCTCGTTTGTCAGGTAAGATATTGTCAGATTCGTAACCATGTAATAAATCACGTTTCCATTTGTGACAGGTTTCAATGTTGACACTTACCTGCTCAAACCATTTAAGTAACCACTCTTCCAAGCCCAGAAATTCTACAATTTGCAATTCTCTCGTAGACAATTTGAACGTTCGATTACCTTTTGT